GGTGGGGGGGGGGGGGGGGGGGGGGGGGGGAAGAGACCTTCGATAAACGATACGATTCCTTCGAAGGGAAACGGCTCATGAGCACGTAACACGAACACGACGGAATCCCACTGCGTTTTATGCTTAACCTCTGACCGAACCATCCTCCCTGATTAAGCCTTCCCGCCGGGGTCCGAAAGTCGGTTCCCCGTGAAGCGACGCTTCCTGAAATGTTCAGAGAAATCAAAGAGAGAGGGAAAAACTCGGCCATCGAGAACCAATCATTTTTTGTTGTTGTTCATTTGCGGTCACAAAAAGCTTAACCCTTATACGCTCAGCGCGCCGATCCATCGGTTCCGTCTAAATCATGCTCCTTTTAGTTACATAAATGGCTCAAAATGCTTCCCTAAAAACAGGTGCTAACTGCAAAAGGTACGTATGTATTGTTTTACATAATGTTCCGGACCAGAGAGTGTTTTAGGCCAGGTACTTGGAAAATAGGCCGAGTGCGAAAGGGTTAATTAGGGAAGGGAAAGGGTATTTTCAGAATCGACATCGACGACGTGGACTTCGCCAGCCTCGTTCTCAAGGCGGTCGATGCGAGTCATTCCTCGGTTCTCGCCAAGAAACACGAAGAAAGCAAAAAGAGAGAAAGAGAGAGAGAGAGAGAGAGCGGAATCTCCGGGCCGAACCGGGCCACCCCGGAGAAGGTGGGCCTGGATCCTCCTCCAGCCATCAACGATGGCTTCAGTGTGGATTGGCATTTGTCCCGCCTCGAGGAGGATGGCGAGGCGATGAAAGAAAAAAACGAAAAGGAAAACAAAAACGAAAATAAGAAGAGGGATGGTGAAGGGGTGAGCTGCAGAAAGAGGAAAAAGGAACGGAGAGAAATAAAAAAAAAAGGAGATAAGGAAGAGAGGGGTTGGGGAGGTCGCAGCCGAGGACTTCGGGGCGGGGAGGTCGCAGACAGCGTGGCACTACCGATCCGACGATGGCTGCGAAGTCCTTCCTCCCGCTGTCCGCTTGCCTCCTGGCGCTCCTGCTCTTCTCCGCCGCTTGGAAGACCGACCGCAGTGAGTTCCAACCTCTTCCATCGGTTTTTTTTTTTCCCCCTCAAGTCAAATATGAGGTGAAACAGCCGAGTTTTCCGATACTCGAATTTTGCCATTTTCGGGTTTGGGGCCCGACCAAAAATCAGTCGGCGTCCAACCGCGAGCATAGAAGAGTTCCAAAAGGGTCATTTTCTTCCCCCGCCGACCCTACCCACAATTTACGCCGAAGTAAGTTTTTAAAGTTTATGGGTCGTGAGCAACTTCAGCGGATCCGAGCGTGGCCCGTGCGATTTTTCCCCAATCTCCGCGAATCGAAAGGGCAAAACGAAGCGATCGGGACGAAACCGCCGCGGCAGGATCTCCCACCACGAAATCCCGAGAGTGAATTTCTCATCAGTCATCAGCCATCAGTCCTTCCATTCATAGAGGCCGACGGGATCCGTACAAGAGGACTCATTTTATTTTCTTAACATTTTTTCCCCCTCCACTCACTGGCCTTCGCGGATGGTGAATGGGTTTCGCATCCCCCCCCCCCTCCTCTCCGTCTCACTGCGAATCAGAAACCCTTCCGAGTATTTTTTTTATACCACGAGCGAACAGCGCGACGCCAGGCCCACCACCTGAGACGCTCCTGAACGGGAACCTGCCGCCTTTTCCACCGATATAAAATATTTTATTTCGTCACGTGACCAACAAAGCCCGAAGAGTCGGTGGCCACGGTCACTCGTTCCACTCCTCCCGGCGATGACAGATACGCACCGTCGGCGGCAGACGCATTTTGCAACGAATCGTTACCGCCGCTTTGCATGCCGGGGCGGCACGGAGGAGGCGAGCCGAGCCCCTCTCCGCGCCCCCTTTTTTTTTTCCGGCACGAATTATGAAATCCGCATCAGCGCTCGCTTCCTTGCAGAACCCAAGATCTACGGGAAACGCCTCTCGTCCAAGCACCTGAACACCGACCTCCACCGGGTGAGGAAGAGAATCCTGTCCTACCACAACTATTACCGAAGTTCGGTGAAGCCCCAGGCCTCGAACATGCTCCGGATGGTAAGCTGACGTCACTCCGCTCAAACACGTCGTAATTTTAAAAATGTTTAATAATCATTTTTAATCATACTTATTTTGTAAATATCTTAATTGCTTTTAATTATTACTTTTAATTATTTAAATTATACTTATTTCCAATTGTATCGTTTTTTAATTTAATTTTTATTATTAATTTTATTATAATAATTTTTTTTTTATTTGCTTGTTATTATTATTATTTTTTTTTTTCCAAAGACGTGGATGGATGATGCAGCGAAGGCAGCACAGAAGTGGGCAGAATCCTGCCAGCTTCTGACTCACGATTCAATTAAGGGGAGATGGACGAGGCAGTTCGGCTCTTGCGGACAGAACATCTTCATCTCCACCCACAAGGTCCCATGGTGAGCCCCTGTCCCTGTCCCTGTCCATGGCCGTTTCTCGACGGCACTTCTGTAGAACCGAGGACAAAAAATATTCCCGATAGATGGCGTTTGCGGATAAGTTTGTTACGATTGGTAAACGCATGTTAGCTCGTGAGCGACTCGATCGAGTAATTTCGAACGGAAATTTTTTTCCTCCAGGGTGTTTGCCGTGAAGACGTGGTTTCTGGAGAAGCAGAACTTCACGTACGGATCGCCGGACAACGAGCTCCCCCTGGTCGGCCATTACACGCAGCTCGCGTGGGCCTCGTCACACAGACTGGGATGCGGGGTGGCGAAATGCAACCACGGGTCCAAGGGTTACTTCAACTACGTCTGCAACTACTGCCCGATGTGAGTCGGCACGTGGGATCCTTGAGACGGGGGGGGGGGGGGGGAGAGTCCCCCCGTGACCAGGGGCCATCAATTATTGAAACGGCTCCGCGTCCGGATCGATTCATCTTCCGGGCGGGGGTGTCAAGGCGACCTGTCCCGTTTCGACGCGTCGCCGTGGTTACGTTTGCTATGGCACGTACGCTTTTTAAAAATGAGAGGTGTACTTTTTACTTTATGTGCACTGGCGATGCATCGTTTTTTGACGTGTTGGCTGCCGGACAGAATTTTTAACACTGAAATCACCGGTGATGCATTTGGCAGCCAACACGTCGAGTACGTGCGGAGAAAAAATGGCAGCAGTTTCCAAAATTGCCAAAATTCCAGAAGCAACGTTCCTCGTCCCTCGGAGCGAATCCGAGCCGCGAAACGCGCGGAAGGCAGAACGACTAAGATTCATCCCTCCGCATTTCTCCTCCTTCCCAGCGGGAACATCCCGTCCAGGCTGGGTCGCCCGTACGAGGCGGGAGAGCCGTGCTCGGGGTGCAGGGACTCGTGCCAGGGGGACATGCTCTGCGATAACCACTGCCCCGTTGCGGATTTCTGGGTCAACTGCCGGGAGCTGAATGCCACTTGGCACGATTGGCTCTGCGAGTCGGACAAGAAGAGGAAGCAGGCCTGCCGGGCCACGTGCTTCTGCGGGACCCACAGGATACATTGAACTCATTCACCTGTTGGATCCTGGATGGGGGAGAGAGGAACCCAGTCCGAGACTGCAGAGCCGGGAGCGGATGAGGGGAGGGGGGGGGGGGGGGCTTGGGCCTCCTTACACCGCGGTATCCCTGGGCTGACTCGTACAGCAGGTTGACTGGCCGTTCTCGTCGCAGAATCTCATGCTGCTGTCACAGTAGTAGAGATTGTTAGGATCGACTTCGTGGCTAGGAGAAATGCCAAAAAGAATGGTGCCGAAACGGAATTGTGTCGACACGGAATAATGCCGAGACAGAAAAGAAGCGACGCAAAGTAACATCGACAGGAAATAAGTCGACATAGAACAACATCGACCTGGAAATGCATCGACACGAAATAGGCTAGACAGTAAGTGCACGGAGCACCATCGAAAGGAATTACCGGAAGGGTTTGCAATGAGGAAAATGATGGCATGTGGGTCGCTCCTCCTTCCACCTTGGGCAGGCTTCCAAGATTAGGAGACAGGGGCTAATGGAATGAATTTCTAAAAGTATCTGTCATTAAAGTATGAATCTTAACATCCATATTTCCCATATTGAAGTCCATCTCATCGGCATTACAATCATTTGAATGTTTACTCTTTGTGGCATTCCCATTGCCCAACTCTAACGGCACAGTGGCGATATACCAAAGAGGGAGGACATGCTTACTGTCCTCGTTTCCCCACGCGTCCGATACAGTTTTCGGACAGAGTTCTGGACAATGGTATTTTGATGGCATTATTCAATGCGTCTTCATTGGAGCGGAAATCAAATTCCAGTATCAAGGGAAGCAGGTGAACCACTAACGATTCGAATAAACCATTCCAAGAGGTGAATCTGATACTTGAAAAAATATATATATATATACGGAAAACATACGGTACATATATATAAAAATATATATGTACGGAAAAGACTTGGGATCGAGAGGATCAGCTGGGGCCCAGAAAACGTGGTTGTCTTCTCTCGATATGGCAAGTTGCTGCACCCAGTTGGTTGAGTTTTGTGGGGACAGGATGACCTTGGGTCATTATAGACGATTCCGGTGAATTCCAATAGTTTTTAAATTCGTCCTTTGAACCATTCTTTTGATCATGCTTTCCTCTTCCCCCTCCCCCCCTTTTTTTTAAGGGAACCCGCTGCGTTCATACTTTGCAAATCAACTCGCCCTCACCTTTTAAGAGCCTGATTGAACGTCGACTCAGCCATTGGTGCATAGCTAAAAACCAACGGGGTTTGTCCTTTGCAGTTCTCGGTCGCTGCTTCCAGATCTCTTGCTTCGCAGACTTGATTTCTCGTTTGAATGACCCTGCCCAGGTAACACGCCGACGTTGTGGCAACGTTGCGTAAAAGTAATAACGTTGTTTGGATGTAGCATGCTGTCACCCTGTTGTTTTGACAATGTGATATCTTCGCCACAACATTAAGCGAATAAATAAATATTGCAGAAAAAAAATACTTACACGAGGGTAGTTCAAATTTGACCCGAACTTTGTTAATAAAAGGCTGAGTAGAGCATGCAGATTAATAATTTTGGGAGAATTTGTCCTCATAGTGTTCCAAATCCATATCCATAATTGCTAATTGCACGTTTCCTGCTTTAATACATGTACTGAAAACCAATATGGCGTCAGTTGAGGTAACAAAAAATGTGGAACAGCGAATAATTGACATTTCTGGCCAACGGGAACATCTAATCTTTTGAAATTTACAGACGATCGTCTGCACAGTATGGTGACTGCCTGTAGAAAGTAAGTTTCCGCCGGTCAAAATGCGATCCTCAACGCGCTTCCCATTTGCGTTTTTGAAAGAATTCCGGTCCTGCAGCATATGGTTCGTTCTGTACGCTTTCAATCCCGTCTTTAGATGATTTGCACTCGTCATATACGCGTGTCCTCGACAGGCACCGATCGCCATGCTCTGCAGTCCATTAGGTTCAAAAGGATTGATGCTTTCGTTGATCAGAAATGTCAATATTATTCTCTGTTCCATCTTATTTGCTACCTCAATTGCCGTCATCTTGATTTTCAGCACATGTATTATAGCAGGAAACGCGCAATTATGGGTATGGGTTAGGGAATACCTATTTAATCTGCATGCTCTACTCAGCCTTTTATTAACAAAAGTCCGGGTCAAACTTGAACCACCCTCGTAATACTGCAGTAAATAATTTTGATGGACTTGTAACATTTTAGGGGCCTCTGAATATGTTTTCATCGTCACGACATATGGAATGTTGTGGTTACATTGCAGAAAACATTGTTACAGCATTTGAATGTCTTTTTACATAATGCTGTCCAAACATTATCCTATACCGTTGTGAAGACAATTTATTTTTGCCGTTAAAAACCTTTCGACAATGTTTGCAAAGTAATACACTGTTCATCTAATAGGTTCATTCAATAGACGCCAAATGGCATCTCAACGCTGAGATAGCGAATCTCCCTTTCATGTACCGGAAATGAGTTCCTTATATAATTTTATTTTGATACCTGGTCTTTTCCCGAGTAAAACCCAGGGAATAGTTTCAGAATTCCTGGATAGACCTGTTGAAGTGAGTTACACGGCGGAAGGAGACTCCAGGCACTTCTTGCATTCAGGTCGAAGGAAGCAAGGCGAAATTTTCGATCTCACTCCATGACGAAATATATCCCCCAAGCTTGATTTACCTCTAGGAGGTAAAGGGGCATAACTCTTGCTATAGGGATCACCTCTTGAAACCCTTCCAAAAATATACTAATACTAGCAGAGGTACCCGGCGTTGCCCGGGGAAATTCAATATTTCACGCGTGACAAATTGGGGAACGTTTGCCTTATGGTTTCCTATAAATTATCGATCTTGGGTGTCGCAAAATCCACTCGGACCCCTTCCCCTTTTTTAACTTAATTTTTTTTGAACGCTTTGAATAATTTATAAATTATTTTGGAGGTAAAAAACTTGTTGGTAAAAATTTTTTTACATTTTTATTATCGTTTTGAAACATATTTTTGATGAAAACTTGATCAAAAGAATATTACTTACTACCTACTGTAGTGATCCAGCAATGGGATTACCCCGGGGTACTGTAATGCAAGTGGCCGGGAGGAGAGCGGTGGATGGCATGAGAGGACGAAAAAAAGGCAGGGGACGGCCGGGAATCGAAACGACCTCCCGATCTCCGTTCAGGTGTGCTACCACTGCACCACCGAATCCAGGAGCCAGTCGTTCCCTCTCAATGCCATCCCAGACACTGCAGTACCCCGGAAAAGAACCTCGGGAGTGAATATTTTGGATCGAAACATAGCCCTCGACCTTCCCCTGGATGAAAGAGGAGGCTATGCAAAGTTCGGTTGCACTGGCTCCTAAGGGGTTCAAATGCATAAAGGAACAGACAGGCAAACTTTCTTCTTTATATATAGAGAGATATCATGAGATAAGTAACCATTTCAGCGTCGTCTCGAGTCTCGATATACTCATCATGCGACCGCCCACTTGCCAGCGTTGACATGGCGGGCAGACGCAGCAAGTGTGAACTCGAAATAACGTAGAAACGTTTAAATTTTAAAGTGCATGTCTTCTTGCATAATGGCCAAGTACACCCTCTTGGCTATTGATGTAGGGAATGGCTTTCTAAGCTTTTAATGAAAATGTAGGGGGGGATGAGTATTATTGTTTACGATTCATACTGCCATAATAATCAGTTCTCACAAAATGTCGTCACGATGTTGTTATTGAAATGTCACGATGATGTAGGATAATGATATAACAATATGGAAAAAAGGATATTAAGATGTTGTAACAAAGACTTCTACAACTTAGTCACAATATTCTATATGTTGTGTTAACAGCATTTCCACAACGTTGTCACAACATATGTACTGGTATGTTACCTGGGTGTAATGGTCCAACATTTGTTCTTGTACCTGATCGAGGACTTGATCTAGTAAACTAGACCTACTGCCTGAGCAATCTCGTCGACTTCTTAGGGGTGCAAACCTTTTTGGAACATTCAGTAAAGCTGTCATGTATGAATGTAGCGTGGATGGAAAGAGTTGGAAGGCACACGATCGCTTGGGACATGGTCCTCGTGCATTTCCCGCATCGTTCCCTTCTATTTTCTCTTAAAGTTCGTTTAAAAAGGGGCACGCCCACGTCCCCATCGCTGCGCTGCTGCTGTCAATACGTTGAGAAATCCTAATTTATTGCGAGCGCATCTTCATTTGAGAGGAAGCATCCCCCAACATGGAACCATAGTGATTCCAGAGCTGAACCATTCGTGCAAGACAGAATATGGAACTATGCTGCTTCCATCATGCTGTGATAAAACTCAGCATATCTGAAGCTCTGTTATGTTTGCATCATCTAAATCAATATGGTATTATACTTATAAATTATCATTTTTATTCTATGATATGCTTATGAATGGTAATTGTAACAGATCACCTTCCACCACCTGGAATGAGCTGGACATAATTTCAGCATATGGCCAGCTAGAACTAGCTGGACCATCAAAAACCACCTGGAAATTCAAGCTGGTCCAGCATGGAATATTTGACTGGGCGAGGTTAAGTTTTCCTCTTCCTGAGAGAAAGGGGATCGATCCTCTACTAAGAAACAACAAATTTCTAGTTATTTTCTTCCTGGGCATGAGCATCAAGGATTTCCAGAATCAACCATGCCAATTCTTCTATCATTTCAATACATTACAAAAACAGGAGATCCAAGAGTTCTCACAAAACGAGTTCGATCAAGCCTACAATGATCTCATATTCATACAGATGAGGTCAATGTACTCCGGCCCAAGCCCTAACAATGTTAAAGACAAGATTACCGCCAAATTTCTGTCGTGCCATATACTCTCTGGAAGCAACTTTAATCTATAAGGTCTACCGGAAAGTTCTGTCCGTTTTTTGAATAATAGAACACAATCACTTTTTCAAGAGTTTATTAGAACTTATTGAACAACATAATTACCCTGGTTATTAACAAGCTCTTGCCATCTTAAAGGTAGCTTTTCAATCCCTCTTCTATAGAATGTCTCGTCCTTGGAACTCAAAAATTCTTAAATTGCCTTTTTTACCTCTTCATCATTGTTGAATTTCTTTCCATTCAAAAAATTCTGAAGAGACAAAAATAAGTGATAATCACTTGGTGCAACGTCAGGTGAATATGGTGGATGACTTAAAACTTCCCAACCAAGCTCTACAATTTTTTGCTGGGTGGCCAAAGAAACATGCGGTCTAGCGTAATCATGTTGCAGGATAACCCCTTTCCTATTGGCTAAAGCTGGATGCTTTCTNATATCTGAAGCTCAGTTATGTTTGCATCATCTAAATCAATATGGTATTATACTTATAAATTATCATTTTTATTCTATGATATGCTTATGAATGGTAATTGTAACAGATCACCTTCCACCACCTGGAAATTCAAGCTGGTCCAGCATGGAATATTTGACTGGGCGAGGTTAAGTTTTCCTCTTCCTGAGAGAAAGGGGATCGATCCTCTACTAAGAAACAACAAATTTCTAGTTATTTTCTTCCTGGGCATGAGCATCAAGGATTTCCAGAATCAACCATGCCAATTCTTCTATCATTTCAATACATTACAAAAACAGGAGATCCAAGAGTTCTCACAAAACGAGTTCGATCAAGCCTACAATGATCTCATATTCATACAGATGAGGTCAATGTACTCCGGCCCAAGCCCTAACAATGTTAAAGACAAGATTACCGCCAAATTTCTGTCGTGCCATATACTCTCTGGAAGCAACTTTAATCTATAAGGTCTACCGGAAAGTTCTGTCCGTTTTTTGAATAATAGAACACAATCACTTTTTCAAGAGTTTATTAGAACTTATTGAACATAATTACCCTGGTTATTAACAAGCTCTTGCCATCTTAAAGGTAGCTTTTCAATCCCTCTTCTATAGAATGTCTCGTCCTTGGAACTCAAAAATTCTTCAATTGCCTTTTTTACCTCTTCATCATTGTTGAATTTTTTTCCATTAAAAAAATTCTGAAGAGACAAAAATAAGTGATAATCACTTGGTGCAACGTCAGGTGAATATGGTGGATGACTTAAAACTTCCCAACCAAGCTCTACAATTTTTTGCTGGGTGGCCAAAGAAACATGCGGTCTAGCGTTATCATGTTGCAGGATAACCCCTTTCCTATTGGCTAAAGCTGGATGCTTTCTCTNACATGCGGTCTAGCGTAATCATGTTGCAGGATAACCCCTTTCCTATTGGCTAAAGCTGGATGCTTTCTCTTGATTTTCTCAGCCAGTGCATCAAGTTGGAGACAGTATTTTTCAGAATTAATTGTCTTATTTCGCTGCAGAAGTTCATAGTGAATAGGTCCTTTCATATTCCACCATATTGACAACATTCTCTTTTTTGTTGACAATCCTTGCTTAGATATTGATGGAGCTGGTTGTCCAGGCTGGCAATAGACTCTTTTTCTGACCACATTTTCATATGTGATCCATTTTTCATCTCCAGTTACCAAACGGTCTATAAATGGATCAGTTTGGCAGCGGGAGACAAAGAAGAGCAGATGGTCAGACGATCTTGCAGGTTCTTAACAGACAACTCATGTGATATCCATCTTGCATACTTGTAAACAAATCCAAGCTTTTGGATATGTTCTGAAACAGTTTGTTGGGCTGTATTGAGCTTCTCTGCAAGGTCTGATGTGGTTGAGAATGGGTCTTCTTCCAAAATGTTGCGAAGAATGTCATCATCAAGTACAGATGGTCTTCCAGAACATGGTTCATCTTCAAGATTGAAGTCACCATTCTTAAATTTCTCAAACCATCTTCTGCATGTACAGTCAGATACCACACCTTCTCCAAAAACTTTACATAAGTTTCTACAGGCTTCAGCAGCATTCTTCCCTTGTTGATACTCATAAAGAATGCAATGACGCAAATGAACTTTGTCAACAGACATGTTTTTGGCACTGTTGTTGTTGAACAACCAATGATAAAATGGGCTCACTTGTGTATATGATAGTGCAAGTACAGTAGAAAAAACTAGTATCAAGTAGGGGTTACAGACCCTTTATATCATCCCTGCCTGCCGCTTAAATTAAGAGGTGCCAGAAACGGACCAGAAACAGACAGAACTTTCCGGTAGACCTTATATATATATTTCAAGTCTCCAAGTTCTAGGTTCAGTTTTAAAAATGTAGGCACTATAGTAATAAACCAAAGCATGAATAGATTCTTCATTGTGGTGTTTTTAGTAGCAGATAGATGCATTTAAAAAGTATTAAAAATACAAGTATGAACAAGTTGGCTACTTAAAGTATATATCTGATTGGAAAGAAAGTTCTCGGAATTTCTTGGATATCCAGTACAATTTTTTTCCAGAACATGCTAGAATGTTCTGCGTGTGTTTATAAGTAGTTCGTGTCCTTCGGCATACAACCGTATATTATTACAGCCCTGGTGCTCTCCAGCCATGAACCAGCCCTACCCTCTTACTAAGGAGCAAGTTCGCCTGCTTCTTCTTTATGACTTCCGAATCGAGAAGAAGGCAGCC